GGGTGATTTACCTTTGAAAGACCAATTTCCTTCCCTTTTCTCACTTTCTCGGTACAAGGGCAAGCTTGTGTCTAGTTTTATGGTTCCTTCTCAGTCCAACTTTGGGTTTGATTGGGAGCTATGATTTAGGAGAGGCCTAAGGGATTCAAAAGCTAAAAATGTAATGAGTTTGATTCAAATCCTAAATGGGGTGGTATTGGATCCCTCTGAGAGGGATAAGAGACCATGGACTCTAACTCCCTCCGGGGCATTCTCTTGTGTTTCCTTCTTTAATTCCCTTTTGCATTCTACCAGTAATTTGGCACAAAATTTCCCAATTAAGGAAGTTTGGGGTGAGCCAATTCCTCTGAGGGTTGGAGCTTTTTGTTGGGAAGCCTTCTTGGAAAGATGTAATACTCATGATTTACTCCAAAGGAAAAGGCCTTATTGGTGCTTATCTCCTAGTTGGTGCATTCTTTGTAAGGCTAATGGTGAAAGCTCCTACCACTTATATCAGTTCTAGATGATATAAGCCTCATGGTATAGGATAGTTAGGAAACATGTGGTATTATTGCATCATCAAGTCAATTTTTACTAGTGTTTTCAAAATCGGACCGGACTGAAACGGTTGGGCTAGAAAAACTGGGATTTGGCCGGTTCCGCTTCAGCCCAGAATCGCTTTTTGGCCAAAAAACTGTTGATTTGGTTAGTGAACCGCTGACCTGGGTGGTCGAACCGTCGACTTGTCGACTCGGACAACAGTTTTTGGCTGTTTTTTTTTTTTTACTTTTTTTTGTTAGAACGGGGCATCCATTCAGTTCAAATGGTCGGACCGCTTGACCCAAGAACCGGACCCAAAACGGTTCCCTACCCGGTTCGGTTTTAAAAACCTTGATTTTTACATGACTCAAATATCAAATATATAATAGGTGCAGCATGCAATCAAACGGATCCAAGACCCAAGTATTTGTAGTATTTGACACATTACTGGAAAACATCAAGGCATAAAGTTGTTTCAATGCCCTTAGTCCTAATTCCTAAAACCAAATATACCAAGAACAAGAAATATCTTCCAATCCATGACCATAGTTTTCAAGGCGCCAAGGCGAGGCTAGGCGATTGGGGGGCGCCTAGTCGCCTAGGCGATGGATTTTTTATGTTAAAAACATAGATCCTAGGGTAGTTCCCTAGGTACCATAACCATATTTCTTTAATAATTATTCATTATTTTCATAAGAAAAGTATAAATTTCATATTAAAGTATAGAGAATCAATATATTCATGAGAAGAAAAGGAAGAAGGAAAATAAAATTCAAAACATATAGGGGCTGAACCCTTATTTTTGTTATAGGAAAAGAAGAAAATAAAAAGTATTGGTAGTAGTAGTAGTAGTAGAAGAAGAAGTAGTAGTAAAAGAATATATGGAAGAGGAAAATGTGCTGATTAGATAAAATTTTTAGTTCTTCCTTACTTATTATTGGTTCAGGTTTTTAAGTCTTTGAGGGTTCAATACAGCATTTAGCAATGTTTGTGTTGATTAAGCCCTAATAAATAAGAAAATAATAAAAGGAAATTAGTAATAAATACACAAAATGATTATTTTAGTTAATAATGTCTATTTTATAATTATAATCTCAAAAAAGAATGAATAAAGAAGTATCTTATAGTAGGAAGTAGAAAACTGTTAGGCGATTAGGCGCGGCGAGCCTCAAAGGGCGCCTTGTTGCCTAGGCGTCGCCTTGACAACTATGTCCATGACTCTAGTTTGATGGCTTAAGTTTCTTTCTCTTCTATACAGGACCCAACAATCTGAACCATCTGAAAGTTAGACTAGTACAACAGTTGAGTATGACACTAATTAAAAAATTGTGATCATATGATTGTTTTATGGTGTTGGCTTCTGAACTACAAAAGTCGTGTGTAGATACTGAATTGCACTATATGTCAGAACAGTAATAACATGTTTTCAACCATTCTTTTGCAGCACTAAAAGGTTTCGGCAATTAAGGTTTAATGCAAACAGGTAAAAATGGAACCAATTTAAGCAACTGGACTCAATGTGACACCTTTTACAGCACTAAAAGGTTTGATTAATTAAGGTTTAATGCAAGAAGTTGCAAATGGAACCAATTTAAGCAACTGGACTTGATGTGACATCTCAGCATAATACAGATAATATTTTTTTTTATCAGTGAATTATCAGATTTATTAAATCAAAGCCAAAGATAGTACAATTTAGGGAGAGGCACGAGATGCTACCTCCCCTTTAAGGAGGGGAGATGGAAGAGACCATCAACCCTTTAGTTAAAGAACAAAACTATGGAAAAAGAAAATTACAGAGAAGCCCAATACAATGAAACCCGATTAGCCCCTTGTTTAGCAAGATGATCGGCCAAGGCATTGGCCGATCTACCCAACCACTGAACTCTAACTGCCATGCCCCTCAATAGCCATTTGACCTTTTTTAAGATATCCTTAAAGTTCCAAGTGACAGTACCCGGATCAGCCAACCATCCTACTACCACCTTGGAGTCTCCTTCAATTATTAAGTTTTGCACTCCAAGTTGATAAGCAATCTATACCCCCCGTGCTGCAGCTAGGAGTTCAGCCCTCACAGAGTCTCCTATTCCCACCGGTCCCGAAGAAAAGGCAATGATGTTGCTGTTCTCATCTCTCAGTACACCACCAATCCCAGACGGTCCTTGGTTACCCTGACTACTCCCGTCAAAGTTCAGCTTAACAAAACCCTCCATCGGCGGAGTCCAAGTTACTTGAACTCTAGGCTTCCTAGAGGATGTGAGGGCAACTGCAGACCAATTCCTCATTAAATCTTCAAAGAGTTTTAAGGATTTCAGCCACAACATAGTTCTTGTAATAATACACTCTTTGACCTCAAGAATGCTTCTTCCCTTCTCCTGAAAAATTCTGGAATTTCTCTCTTCCCAAATAGTCCAAAGGAGAGCTACTCTTATACACTTCAACATGATTCTCCCTCTTCTTGTGGTCAACACAAAGGTAGAAGGGGAAAACAACAAATTTACCTCAGCTGGCAAGTTCCACCTGCACTCAAACAAATCAAATACCCAGTTCCAAATGGCTGCAGCAAAAGGACAAGAAATCAATAAGTGGTAACAGTCCTCATTCTGCGCTTTACACAAAATACACCAGTTAGGGGATAAACACAAGAAGGGTCTTTTCTTCTGCAGGTTATTCATTGTATTGATTTTACCATAGTAAACTTCCCAACAAAACACAACTATTTTGGGGGGAACAGGCCTAGACCATACTTCCTTAACAGGGAAAACCCGAGGAGAGGAACTGGAGCAAAGGGAATTAAAGAAAGAAGCACAAGCAAACGACCCTTTCGGAGTCAAAGTCCAAATCCTCCTATCAGAAATGAGTGGGTCTAGGCAATCAGAATCAAGTAGCAATAAGAGCTCAGAGACTGATAGGGATTCCTCATCCCTCAACCCTCTACGGAAGCCAATGTCCCAATTTGTTGACAAGGGGGTATACGGGGACAAAAGAAAGGAAGACACATGTTCTTTTTTATAAAGGGAAATAGAGAAGAGAGAAGGGATCAGATCCTTAAGGGGAAAATTTCCCACCCAAGTGTCTTCCCAGAAGAGAACCCGAGTCCCAGAGCAAGCATCATACCTTACAAAGTATATAAACTGTGGGAGGATGCCATGAATTGCCTTCCAAGGTGTTGCAAGAGTTGCCCGTCTGGATACCCCTGCATCCCAACTGTTTCCAGAACAGCCATGGATACTTGCCACCACTTCATGCCATAACCTCTCCCTCTCTAAAGGCCATCTCCACAACCACTTACCTAGAAGAGCTACATTCTTAAAAGTAATATTCCCTAATCCTAATCCTCCTTCCTCCTTACTTCGACTAACTCACTCCCATCTAATACAGATAATATTGTACCCATTAGTTATATTAAATACAAAGAAAATAGGCAACAGCACTACTTGTGAGATAAAATCACTGGTTCTAAAAGAATGACCTCATTATGGCTAAAATCCCACATTCCACTTTCCTCTTTGCATCATCATCATCATCATCATCATCATCCAAGCCTTATCCCCACACTATATGGGGTCAGCTACATGAAACCTGTTTTTCCATTCCATTCTGTTTAATGCAATATCCAATGTTAAATTATGGATACTTAAATCATTTCTTATTACTTCGATCCATGTCCTTTTTTGGTCTACACTTAGCTGTTCTAGTCACTTAAACTTGCAATAGATCACTTCTTCTTACGGATACTGTTGATGGTCTTCTATGCACGTGATCAAACCATCCTAGTCTAGCAACCCAACCGTTGCACCAAGGGCCCACCCTCACCAAACCATCTTAGTCTACTTTCTTTTATTTTATCACTTTTTAGAGTTATCTTTAGGTTCCTTCAAATGACTTCATATCTGATCCTATCCTTTCTAGTTTTTCCACTCATCCACTTCAGCATACACATTTCTGCCAACTCATTTTTTGGATTTGTTATTTCTTGATTTCCCAGCACTTTGCTCCACACAACATAGCTGGACTTGCCTTTTTGTATAAACAGGCTATTACCGTTTGCAGCATTAGTTGGCCTATGGCAAAAATGAACCTCAAGCAGTGCTTTTGTCATTGTTAACATTTGGCAATGAGAAGGTAATTTCTGTCAATGCTTTAGACAGACTAAACATCTCTTGTAAACAGGGCACTTTAGAACAAGACGGTGGGTTGTAACTTCAAAAATCAAAATAAGTATGCTGCTCCCAATTTACACTTGGGACAGATACATATCACTTTTATGGTGGTGATTTAAGCCCGCATTCTGCAGGTGAAAAGAGTTTCATGCATTCAGCCTGCATTCTGGTGTGTTTTAAATCAAGCTGATAGCTATACAAAGGTATCAGGATGTAATGCTTTATAAAAAAGGAGTGAAAAGTTTTTTTCTTCTATACCAACTGAATATAATGGAAAATATATTCATGAATAAACAAGTGCACAATTTGGCATCTTACCCCGGTGAGAGCTCATCATCAAATATCACAGTCTCAACGTCCAGGGCACGAATTGCAGTCTTTATTTCTGCAACCTTGCCAGATCCAATATATGTCCTTGGGTTTGGTGTAGCAAGTCTGCACCATAAGGATAGCTAGCTATCAACCTAAGACATCGTACAGAATAAATGCATTTAATACCATGTAGAGCCATCCACATATTGAAACTAGATGGTGAATATGATAGAACTTAGAAATTCATTAAAAGCATTATAAATTATGTATCTTTTTAAGCACATGTAAACATCAATAAGTACATGGATTAGAATATTAATGAAACAAAGATGAAGATTGGTTCATGAGCAAAAAATGTCAATACATATAGAAGGAAATCAATGTTTAAAAGCACTTGGGTGTGAAGTGAGGTGCCAGGACATTAAGGTGCATGAAGCATAAGCCTTGAGGCTTGAGTCTTGAGCCTTATAAATTGTCCATATTTGTTAAGAAAAGCATGAAACTAAAATTAGAAAAGTGTTGAAAGGTATACAAGAAAAGCAAATTTTATATAGCAAGGTATTCCTAAAAGCTAAAATACTTTCAGTTCTTACTCAAAACATAGCTTGGGTAATGGGAATCATATTAAGCTCTGGTCAGACATGGTGAGGAAACCAATCTCTTAGTAACAGCTGACCCAGAATCCACCTGTCTAAATTTCCTGATCCAAGGAGGTCACTGTTTCTGGCACACTCTCACATGCAAAGCATATCCTTTCTTTGAACCTTCACTTCTCCATAGCTCTTGGGAAACCCATAGGTGGAGTGAATCACGTTGATCTTTGAAGCGCTTAAAGAGGTCTACCTCCCGCTGCAGAACCTGATGGATGTATGTGAATCCCAAAATCTTTTGTTGTCTATAGACAATTTTTTTTTCCATCTCTATTGTCCCTAACCCGGCATCCAATGTTTTTTTTTTTTAATTTTTCGATCAGCAACACAGAAAAGATTTCATTAATTAGAAAAAATCACGTTACAACAAGAAGTTGTGAAAATAAAAACCAGCTTTAGAAGATGACCCAAACCAAGATTACATTTGAGCCCAAAACATGTGTTCTATGAACCAAGATCAGCATCCAATGTTTTTCTAGAAAGAAAGCTTTGGTACTCCATTTTTTCTACCTCGAGTATCATTCTTCATGTTAGTTTATCATATATGATGTCCTTCAGAAAAAGCACTTGAGCATTATACATCTCACCCATGCATGTAATGTGTGCCTCTAGGATGGTGAATCTATCATGCACTCCTCATCCCTACAAATAGACCAAGGAATTATGGAATTCTTCTTAGGTAATAGCACTAGATTGGGCATATCCCCAGGGAACATTTCAATGTGCTTTGCCAATGGAAAAAATATGATCTTGGTGCTAGGGGAAAAAAATAATTGGGTAGCCATTTTTCTCGATAGGTAAAAGAAAAATTTTTATTAAAAGGAAAAAAGGAGATACAAGGGAACAATCAAGGCATAGCTCGGGATACTGAGCAAAGGAAAAACCAACAAAAGACTTGAAGCGGGAAAGAGATATTCCCGCCTACGATCAAACACACTGAAAACTTTAACACATCAAGCCAAACCTATTCCCTTTACAAACAACAAGAACCAACACAGAAAAACCCCCTACCAATCCCAGCCTTCCACATACTGATACTCCTCCCTTCTACACACCCAAAATGACCTAAATCGACCGGCTACCTCTACCACCCCTACCCCTGCCCCTGATTGACTTTTCCCTCCTCAAATCTGCTTTAACTGAGGCATCAATATAAAAATCTACCAACCTCCTCAGCTTTCTACTCCTGGAAGGTCTCTAAACCTAAAAGCTTCATCAACCTCATCAACAGAAACATTGCTCTCCCACCCATCCTCTTCCTCACTTCCTTGCTGCTCCTTTTCCTTTTCTTTCTGCAACTCCAACTCAAAGCTTCTCTTACCCGACTCTCCCCTCCCAGAAAAAAAAAGACATACATTACAGTACTACCCCTAGTAGAGGAAGTTGAACCAACAAACAACATACATTAAAGCACTGCCCAGTACAAACTCTCCCTTACAGTCCCTTGTTTTGTTAAGGTATCAGCTAATCCATTAGCTGATCTTCTTGCCCACTTAAAGCAAGCACCCACCTCCCTCATTACACTAAAAACTTCCCTCATCAACTGTCTATTTTGCAATTTCCCAGACAACCTGATTGCATCCACCCAATTACCAATTTAGAATCCCCCTCTATCTCAATCTGCTGTAGCCCCAACTGTTTGGCCAATCTTACTCCTTGATTCAAGGACATGATCTCCACTCTCAAAGAATCTCCCACTCCTATTAGTCCGGAATATAGAGCAATTATTTTTCCTTCACCATCTCTGGAAACACCTCCTATTCCATGGGCCCGGATTACCTATAGGCAGCCATTACTTACACTGGTGAATTTGGTAAGAAATAAATAAACACAGGCTGATAAATCTGCCTCTAAATCCATCAGATGCCCTTTCCTATCATTTCTTAGTTCATGAAACATATCCTCCAAGGAATTTTGTGGTATACTGGAGATCATAAAATAATCTCCTACAGCTCCTATTACTAGGCTGCCTTCCCCCTTCCCCAGCCTTTGTGATGGAGAGAAAAAGCTAATAAAAAGGCCCTTCAACACCAGTATGTGCAGGAGCCATGCTCCCCTTTCTATGTAGTTGTTCCATCTTGTGAGATTTTCTTAAAAGTCCGAGTTGTCCTGATTGTCTACCATTGCAACTGAAACAGTGAAATCAGATAAGTTCCAAAAGAATTACTTCTATGCCAAACTATTTAGCTAGAGCTAGGATTGAAAGGGCCTCCTCTATAGTGAAATTATTTATAGCTCTTTACCTGTCTAATTCTGCATTCTTGGTGGTTGTATGGCATATACATCCTCACATGTATATACTTTCTTGACATACCTAAATTTGGATTACAAAAGGAGAACTAACAACTGCTATAACAAGGAACCAAGGTGTGGGAATGGACTGTAGAACCTCATACAATATCATAACAAAACTGGAGAAACTTTTTTTTTTTTTGATGAATAATAATAAGTTTATTGATTCAGAAGCAAATTAGAGTGAGTTCATACATCATCCCAACGAGAGGCGCGAGCTGCAGCCCCTCCTTGAAACTTACAAGTAAACTAGGAAAGAAAAACAAGAATCACAACTGAGCCCAAAATAATTCTTCCCTATTTAC